AGCTGGGATGCGTCCAATGGATCTTATAGCAAAAATGGCTTTTTTACATGTTTCATTGATATGATCGTTAAAAGATAGATTTTTATCCATTACAATGCCTAGATTCGTAGCTTTTCCTTTGATTCCTATTTCACTATTTGCTAATGTTACGGTCTCAAGGAATGTTACGGTCTACAAGGAAATGTGTAGCAGCTAGAGGGGAGAATTAACAATCAGATCTTTGCAGTTTAATGGTTGAAGAATTTGATGACAATGATTCATTTGTGGAGTTAATCTTAACTATTCAAATGTTCACTTTCCAGGTCATGCAGAAAGATTCTGAGAAGAACATGTCAATCAAGAAACTTTGGAAGTAAAACAACCATGTCTAATGCAGATCATAATTTCAACGCAAAAGCAAATTGATTTTCTACAATTAACTTAATATTGCTCTTCTCCTGCTACTCAAGGATACTTATTTCATCAAGCATTCAACTTAGAAGAAGAGTAAAAAAGAAAACATAAAAAGAAAGCCAACTCTAAATATTAGAACTCACAACCTCAGCCATGTTTGACATTATGGCGGTACCTTGCAACACGGTCACTTAAATTATTTAAGTTAGCTCCATTTGCACACATCACACTGTTTTCGTAACTTTACTAGAATGTCAATTCTGTGCAGTGTGTCGGAGTGTTTGGTAGAGTAGTGGTGTAAAAACCAAGATCAGCTACAATGGCTTCATTTAGTGTGTTTTAGGATGTGCGTGCAAGATTGAAGTGTGGCAGTACGTGATTTTTGGGGTTTGAAAGCTTGTCATGCGTTTAGTCAGACAATTTTTTTTGGAGAGGAACACCAGAGTCTGGGACTCTGGTAAATCTAATTTTAGTAAGTAAAGTAATTTGTAGATGATTTTCATGATCACTTTGCATTTTGTACATGTAGCATGATAAAAGTCATTTGACAATTAGTTATTAGTCTTGAAGGAAAACTCACAGTACAAAGTTTACTTTTCTGGTATGATTGATTTATTTCATGTACTCAAAGTAACCCTTCATTTTGCAGTATAGGTAACAAAGAATCGAATCTGAACTTCTGAAATTCTTCTATGGACGGTTTCCAGTCCCATTCACTAGGCAAACACTGCCTGGGGAAACTTGCTGATGATTTAGTTGCTTTGTAATGAACTTGTTACTGGCAAAATGACAAAAAATACATTACAAAAATGAAAAGGTATCTAAAAACTGACATGGGATATGCTAATTCCCTACCGTTTGTGGAGTTGAAAAAGAGATGAACTATGGAAACCATTTGCTTTATTGGACACTGTACTGTAGCTGTCTTAGTGACTACTTGTCTTTAGCTGGGTTTTAGCAGTCTGGGCTCAGAGGGGTGTGTTTTGTGTTCACAGGGATGCCCCTGATTGTATGAGGGGAGTTGTAAGATCACCTTCCCCCCCCCCCCCCCCTTATGGTGACTTTCTACCATCCAACTTTGAAAGTCTACTTAGAGGGATGTGCTAGTTCTGTTGTCACAGCAGGGATGCCTTGGGTTGAAGGGAGGAGAAGCGTTGAATCAACCTCACACTTTTTTACCCCTCTCCTTACTCCCTTTCTTCTCTGTATTTTGGCCCAGGGGTAAAGCACTGCTTTAGAAATAAGTTGAGTCGAGAAAGTAGTTCCAACAGAAATGGATAGTGATAGATTAGGACTACAAGTTCCTAATTACATTCAGCCTTTCCATATTATCACATTTTAGCTCATGGTTTTCTCGGTTTCTCGTCTGTATTTTCTCCTCGTAGCTAGCTATTGATATTTACCAGTTGTACCACTCCGTTATGACCTTGCCATTATTCTTTTGATGGCTTTTCCTGTATTAGCTAAACAAGAGTTATGAATAAACCCAATTTGTTTTGCATTACACAATATTTTTGTCTTGTGTTTTTCCGTCTTTTTCATCACCAGCGGCCTTAGGAAATGAAATTATGAAAATCGCTATCTGGCGGAGGCCATTTCTGCATTATCCTTAACACATGCTATATGATCTTGCACTGACCGATTTCCCAGCGGTTAAGCGACTGAGTTTTTTTATCCCTAAGGGTGGCTAGCATCTAATTTCTCCTCACAAAATTAACCCCTGGCTCAAAATGGCCTCAACGCCAAACATACAAAATTTAAGGTGGCTCTGGCCTCGTCTTTGAATCCTGTGGTGTACTTTTAGCAACTTTCCGAGGTTCGAAGGCCGATTAAGTGTTGCTGCCCCCGAACAGTACCCTTACTTCATGAAAATAAAACTTCCTTTGCGTCACCAGGCATGGGAAGGAAATTTGCCGTACTTCCAAGATACTTCTTTTGATTCTAAGCTCTCAGTCATTACCCTTACTGAGCGTTCTATATAATAGAGCACATTTCAAAACCAAAGTAGTTAAAACGATTAATCAAAACTTAAAAAAAAAAAAAAATCATAAGGAACTCTTAGTAAAAACAAGGAAACTGCCGCGAGTAAAGCGCGGGAAAATGCGAGGAACGGAGTCAGACTTGGTTTTATCTGATTGGTTGAGCAGGTGGCACGAGTTTTCTGGGCCAATCACATAGAGTAATGAGCAGCTCGAGCGAATTTAAGTAAACCAACCTCTACACACAAACATCAGAACGCATACTCTCCATACTGTTCTCTATACATATCTAAAGGTGCTGACAAGTAGAGTGTGTTGAACAATCACTGAAGTTACTTGGTAATCATTTCCTTTATTCTCATGACCTTAATGTTTGATTCAGGGGTGATATTGTTAGGAGAAATTAGATGATAGTCACCAGAGGCAGATCCAGGAATTTTTGGTTGGGGGGGTCCAAACTTTGGTTCAGAAAGGACTGTTGGACTCTTTGAGGCAAATTACTTCTCCCCAACCCCTTCCCACCAGTCGCGGTTGCACGTTATAATTCCTTGGCCGCTTACCGTTTATTTGGATTCATTAAAAAAATCAGCCAGTTAAAAGTGATATACGATCCTGTCTCAAAGTTGTAAGCGTAAGGTTTGATAGGGGGGGTCCGAACCCCCCAGGCCCACCCCCTGGATCCGCCACTGGTCACTATTAGATAATGAGAACACTCAAACTTGTCAGGAAGAAGTTGTAATCTTGCTTAACACTAAATTCTCGTAACTAACTAGAGGGGAGAATTAACAATCAGATCTTGGAAGTTTAAGGGTAATAGTGATCCCATATCGTTTTACATTTGAACAAAAATGAACCGAAGAGTTTTTCGTTCGCTAATGTTCGGTCCGCTTATTAAAGTTGGAAAATTCATTTGAATTTCAAATGATCATATTAAATTAATATTCATATTTACGGTCAGTCTTACACGTGAAAAAGGCTTAGAACCACAAGAAAGTTTAGCATCCTTTTTCGCTACTCTGGGATTATGAAGCACGCAATTCTTTCTTTATCATTTCACCTTTATATTTTTAATTAATTTGAAGTCGGTGTGTGTTCCCACGAGGTTGCCAGAATGAATTGGGAGACCAGAATTAGACGTCGACGTTCAGGATTGCTGTCCGGCATTTTGTAACGACTTTTCTCAAGGTAAGTAAATTACGTATAAATACGCATTTTATAGAGATAAAGTACTCATGTTTCTTTTTAAGGTGAAAGTAAAATTTCGAGGTTACGTTTGAAAAGGATCGAAGTAGCATGTTATACACGGTACAAAGCAAGACAAAACCTCTATGGCAGCCGCCATGACACTTCTTATTGAACCACGTGACCATTAAAGTAACGACGAGAAATTCGTATTATCATCTCTATTTTCCTTTAATTATTTTGTTTTATTTCTACACTTATTTTCATACTGTACACAGTTATTTATGCTTATGATATTTAAACATTAAATTGTTTGAAAAAAGGTGACTGTCAAAACGTTTTGACATAAAATCCTTTTTCTTAATAATAATAATAATAATAATAATACACTTTATTTAGAGAGGGTTGCCCTATATTTTCCTGCATTTTTGATTGTTTCCTCTAAACAAGCCTTGAAATCTGGTTGGTCATTGTGTTTTAGTAAAGCTGTCTCCTTGGCCAGTAAAATGATCCGATTTGGAACATAAAATGGTGCGATTCGTGAATAAATCGCGCCGATGAGAGCCAATCACATTGAAAGGATCACCAGTGATTTCAAAATGGATGTAAGATATCCAAAAGCCAAGTTCAACGTGCTTCAAACATTGATATTTCTCAGATTTTTTTATTTCTCCATGATTCTTCTTTAGTGTTCTGATGAGTTTAACTATCTGATAACTTTGTACAAGAGTTTTTCATTCAAGAGATTAATTTTTAGACTTAGTTCTCAAGGAAAAAAAAAACTAGGAAGCTTCAAAACTTATTTTTTCCAAATTTTTTCGTACTTTTCTTTGTTTTACATGTCTGATAAGTTTAATAACCTGATAAAATCCTATTAGAGGATTTATCTATAAAATCAGAACTATCTTCAATGCTGGTGTTACTACCGTTAAGCGTGATGTCACGCAGCCATTAGCTAGATCCCGAGAGGCGTTGCGAGTTAAAAAAAATGCATGTGCTCGAACGAAGTGGGGGATTGTTTCAACGCCCGTTTAACGTCATCGCTTATATTAAAAGGACACAAACGTAAGTTTTTTGGTTTCGTTTCTCGTTTTTCTAGCCTTTTTCCGTATTTATAGTTGTAATTTCCTTTGTTTCCTTTTAGTTTTCGAAACCGTACAACGTTCGTTCAAGATCATAAAGTCCATTTCATAATTACAAGTACGCGTGTTCAAGCTTTTGTTGTCGTACCGTTTTATGCGTGCACAGCTGGTTCATTGGAGCCTAATTGTCACGTCTTTGTTCCAGAAGCTATAAAATTCAGTGTTATGCTCTGGTATTTTCCTTGCTTCAACATTACAACTGTTGTACTATTTCAAGAATACCATGGAGGCCAGTTGTCAAATGTTTTAATTCTCAATGCTAAGAAAAATTATAAATTGTTCGCTAAAAAATATTGGTATTTCTCAATTCTTTAAAACTTTTTATAAGACCCCTCAACACTTAATGGTCTGATAACCCTTTCAATTTAAATTAGGAAAAAGCTTTAAAGCTCAGAGCTCTCGAAGTTGAGTACAAATTCGGTTTGCTCCACAAATTCCACTTTTCCTACAATTCCAAAAAAAAAAAAAATTCTAAAAAACTTTTCTTGAGTTTGTGATCAACTGATACAGGCCCATGTTGCTAATTTGAAGAAAAATCCTGCAGCTTGATGTTATTGTAAATGCTTTAGCTCTTTCAAAAAAAAAGACAATTAAAAGGGCAAGTTCCAAAGATGTGTTTTTCTGAATTCATTTTCAAACCCCAGGAAGGTTTTTGACAAATGGAACCTTAGTGTCTATGATCATTGCCAAACCATTTGTTCCAGATCAATTAATGATATCATTGCTGTGGGATATAAATTTACACCTTGATAAACATTATCTGAGCTTTTCGCTCTAATTTCCTTTATCGAAGCTGAAAAATAAACCACTCAACCTGGAAAAAGAAAAACAAAATAAGGAAATAGAACTGTTGTAAGGAGTTTTTTAAAAAATAAATACTCTAACATTTCCTCTAGAGTTGATCATCGACTGACATGCGCCTTTGTTGCTTAATTCAAGAAAAATATTGGTGCTTGATGTTACGTTTTTATGCTCTTCAGTCCAAAGATACATATTTCTGAAATTGTTCTCAGAAATCATGCCAAAAGAAAGGTTTTTCTTATCAAAGGGACATGGAGCCTAAGAAGTACTTGTGGCAAACGACCTTCGTAAAACCATTTGATACAAATCCATTTATGGTATTATTTCAGTGCACAAATCATTTGATGTAGGATTTAATTTTGAATGTCGGTTTAATTTATTTTAAGCTTTTCTATCTTCTTTTCCGACCCATATATTTTAAAAATCAAACTCTCGAAAAATGTCCATCCTGAAAAAGGGGACATCTTAAATATACTTTCATAACAAGCAGTTGAAAACGATTTGGTTTGTTGTAACTCTTGCACTTATTCATCAAAACTAAGACATTGTAAACTCTTCCCTTACTCCTTCATCCAAATTTCGGGAATCGGATATAATTTCTTCTTGCATTTCGTTTTAGTAGTATGACATCAAAGAAAGGTGGTTTTATCTTAAAAAAAAAAAGTCAGCTAGTAAATCAAATATTTTTAACAAGTTTATCAAATAAGGGAATTCTTGATTGAGAATCGTTCAGATTTTCCCACTGAAAGGTCCGATCGAACTCAAATCTTTGATAGAACACGCTTATAATGAAATTACAAATAATTATTAGGTCCAACAATTTGCAGCCTTTCGTGATAGAAAAACGTCTCTTGAGAATTCTCTCTTTTTATTAGTATTCAAATACTGCATCTATCATTTTTTTACGCATCACAATTTACATTTGTCCTAATTCGGCGCAAAATGAAGCTCTCGAAAATGGATGAATTGTTTTTTAATTTTTTTTACCTTGCTGCCGAGAATGTGACCAAGAGCACAATAGTCCATCGCTTTAAAGATGAATACAGACTCGGCAAACGAAAAAGAATATATTAAAAACTTGCAGAAACTGAAGGCATTACAGGCGGGAAGTAAAAATAATTGCTCAAAATAGCTTGATTATGAATTGTTAGCGGGGAATTAAACGGCTCAATTCCGGCCTTACAAGGTCCTAGACAAGACATAGAAAAGTAGTGAAGTTTCTGTCGTCTACAGTTTTAAAGGATATTCATCGGTGATCGTGTTTGATTCACCCGTAATTCCAGGTAACATCCACTTCTTCTGTAGCAAGGATAGACAGATTGATACCAGTATAACACAGAAAAAGATATATAACGTTGGTTTATGATCTTTTACGTTTACTGATTTATGGGTTTTTTAATTTCTTGCAGATTGTCCAGTCAATATCTCTGATTCTTCACGCACGAATCAAATAAAGAAGACTAAGCAAGCATCCAGCCAAAAGCAGGATTTTTATTTGGGAGGTACATAACAGTTGTAGCGCAATTTCTCAAGCATCCAGCGAGTCATAGAATTAGATACATTTTCCATAAACTCGGACTTGAAGCCAAATGTCACAATTAATTTCACAATTTGAATGAAATTTTGAACAGTTTATGTAGCGGGGCAATTAAAAATTTAGAGTTTTCCCGCCAAAAAAAAAAACTTGCGGGCGCTTCAAAGACGCATACGCCAGCTGTTTTAAAAATCGCTTCTCTATAACATCTGTTTGAAATTGCTCAATTTTCCCGCCAAAAGACTTAGAAAAATACGGGCGCTCAGAATACGCATGCGCCAATTTTTTTTTTCTTATTTTCAGGTGTAATATTTTTACTAATAAAAGCTACTTATTTACTTGTCAAGACTGTTGCGTATTTGATCTATATTAAAGAGTTTTCTTTGATCTTTTATTGTCTCACAAAGCAAGCCAACAAACAATTAAGTTTAATTTGACTCAAAGTGTCTTACATAGTTAATTGAATTTCGACTAATTAATCAAAACGGTGTGTAAGAAAATGTACTCGTATATACTAAGACTTTAGGCGGGAAAATCTGGACCAATTTGCACAGAGTTTTTTCCCTGGTAACTTTTTCGCCAAAAATTTAAAGAGGTACTTTTGCTTTCCCGCCAAATTTATACGAATATTGCCTCGTACAAAAAAAGAACTGGGTGAAAATAGGAAATTTTCCCTTGTAATATAAAATTTCGGGTTGATCTTTCAATTTTATGCACGAGGAAAAATTTTTAACACAAAATATAGAGAAGCAACACGAAGAGGATAAAGCCTTTTCGATTAAACTTTTTGAAAAATACATCCCTTTTCACGTTTCCATGATTTGTTTTCCAATTTCAACTTTAACTCTCTCGGCTTCTAACTTTTCATGTTGCTTCCGAGAGAAATAAAACGATTTTTTGCTGCCAGCTACTGTTTGCAACACAGGACAAATAAAAATTAAAAGCGCAAAGAAACTTCGAAACTTTAAAATAACTTTCCTTAATTTTATCGGATTTTTTTGCGATAAAATGTTCACCTGGTTAGAATTTATCAAACCTAAATAATTGCTTCATTTCAAATGATGCTTTTAAAAGCAATTTGTCATTAGACTGACCATCAGGTCAAAGACACCACCAAGTTTTATCATGTTTTTTTCTTCTTGGTGAGACAACAACAATTCAATTGCTATCTCGATGTCTACCAAAAATTTCTGGAATGAATAATTTTTAGTCTTTTCTTCTAATGACTACCTTCTCTTATTCTGTTCTGTTGTCAGTTTGTTCGAAGACACGAGCAAGCAGTGAGTTTCTTTTACTGGCAAGAAAATAATTCAATCACTTGGCTCAATGTCTCCTGAAAGAACATTTTGTGAGAGAAATCTATTTGCGGTTTCTAAACAGTTCCTTGTGGAACCGATTCTTTTATTCCACTCTGTCGAGGTTTTGTCCAAAACAAGCAACAGAAGTGAGTTGTTTTTCTTAGCCTGACAATCACAATTCGATTGCTAGAAATAAATGTTAAATTTTCGTTGCGTGAAGAATTTTGAGTGTATATAATTTGCTGTTGAGCCATTCAACTAAAATATTTTCTTAAAGTCAAAAAAATTTGATACGCGTCTTTTCTGTCCTATGTTACAATAAATGCTGGCGCAAAATTTTTTTCCTCTCTTAGTTTATTACAAAGTTAGATAAACCACTGTGTCTGGTTCAAGAAAAAAATTAATAACCGAGTTTATTCTCCTTTAAAAACAAAGTTTTTCAAGAAAGCAAGACAGGCTGCGGAAAACAAAAATGTGACAAAAAAATCACGACGACATAATTTGCGATTTTTGTTTGTCATCGTTGTGTATTTTTGTCAGCTCCCATTCCAATAGGTCATGAATTCTGACTTTCGTCAAGATGATAAATTGCAAGTTGAAGATATTTCCAGCCTCTCAATTCTTTCCGTATTAAAAATTTTTCTTACACATTCCTTTGGTTCACTCTTTTGATTTGCTGACTTTTGTGATAGCAGCTGATATGCACAACCTGCCGAAGTTTTATAAAAATCGTTGCATTTTGATTTTTTTCTGAACCAGACACTATGGTTTCTAATCAACTATAACGGACAAGAGAACAATGGCAAAAAGTAAAAATTTCTTGTTGCAGGCGATTTACGATTCGAAAATCTGACTGATTTCATCTAAAAGCGAACTGAAACGTTTTCGGTCAGTGACTAATCAGTTAGAGTCGATATTGACCCGTCTGTGAAGGTGGATCTTACTGTCTTGAAACCCTCGATGTTATGTCGTACGTAGGTCTACAAGTGAAGTCGACGGTTTTCATTGATGACGTATGTTGATGCAAGATTATTTTATGCTGATCAATCAGGTTTTTAGAAGTCAGTCATTGAAGGTTTTTGTTAGATCAGCGTTTCATACGGAAATGTATGGCCAGTCGATCATGTTCAGTTCTGTGACCAGCTTTCCAAAGTCCGTAGGCTAAGAAGATGAGCGAAGCTCATCATTACGGCATCACGCGAAGAGTTTTCTGTCTGTGCAATGCCAAGTCTGGTTTGAGAAATGTGATTGGTCCGTTTTGCCTATGCGTCATTGGCTGTAATACTCCAGCATCGTTTGTCAGGTCAGTTTGATAAGTTGGCAGAATTATATATGTCGCTGGGTTCTGTTTAATCGTATAGTCAATGAAATGTTTCGCTACGTTGTTCGTTATAAGCCGATAGTTGTTAACATGGTGGCAAGCAGACATCAAAAAGTCTAGTTTCATATCACGTAACAGTGTCACTAATGTCATTACGTAATTATTAACGCATTGCGAGTATTATGGGATAGGCCCATGTACAAGAGTCCCTCGTGAATGATATTGTCACCAAAATAGAAGTCAAGATTCTGTTCGTTTCAGTTGTTTCCTTAATTTGGTGAGAATTTCCTTCACGTATTTTGTCAGCGCTCCTTAAGTTTTGGGTAATTATTTTGCTAGAAAGCTTAACCGTCGGCATCTCAAAACAAGCCAATAGGAATCAAATGCAAAAAGCCACTGTTCTCTTTTCGGTTATACATTATCTACTTAATGGCCAGAGCAAATCGAAGTAATTAAGGCGGCACGGTCAACTGCGACCGATGCATCAGTCCTATGTGCTTAAAGATTTCCTTTGTGGTCAAAAGAACCCAAACGGAAAATCGACATTTTCGTCATCTATCTTCTCCACTAACACCGTGAGTATACTTGTAACAAAGTGACTTCTCCAGTCAATGCAAACATATTTTTCTACTCGAGGTTTTTTAGGTCGTAACCTATTGATCCTTCTCTCACATGAAAGGAAAACTCCATGAAAAGTGTTCTATTGTCTTAATTGACCAGTATTTCCACCTTAATTACACCCTTTGCGGCCATAATATGCAATAATGATAGCTACGTAAATTGAATGGCGACTTGAGGTACTGAATTGCTTTGCATTTATAAATTCCATACCAAACAACTCGGTCCAAATAATATCACAAGCTCGTTGTTGTTTTTCATTTAGTAATTACCATCCGAAACATACCAAAAATAATTTATCTAAATGCTTCGCATCTTGTACTTTAGACCAAACAAACGAGGTCATAGATTAAAATCTAAACCTTGTCTTTTCTTTCGTCTGAAGAACGACAAATTCAGTATTTTTAGCGTGAATTGTTTGATTTATAATCGCTGAGAATGCATGTTGATCTGCAAAACAATAAGTACCTCGTAAAACTATTTCCTCTATCCTGTCCACAAACTGAGGTATTTTTTTTGGCAATGCGGATAATTCACAAGTGTGACCCGATACAATAAAGAGTGAACTTCTTGGAAAATTTTCGACATTTGTTCAGTCACCGTTTTACAAAAAAAAATTGAATAATGTAAAGTTCTTATCTTTGTCGAATCTTCTGGTAATTCCAGTAGTTCCAGCTGTCCTTTTGATTGGACATTTCTCCATCTTTGTCCTCTTCAAGAAGTTTTCCGGCCTAAAACACGAATATAACATTTCGCCGATGAGTAAGAGTCTAACTTTGGGTAAACCAACTTGTGATTTACTTATTCTGTAATTAACTAAGTTTACAAGGCAAGAGTACAATATAGCCCCATACATTAATTATGCATTCAGACTAGTAGACTTTGTTTTTAAAGTTTTGTCGTGAAAGACAAAAAAGTGGAATGCATAATTAATGTATGGGGTTATATGGTACTCTTTCCAGTTTTCAATACATATGCGAGTAAAGCAAGTTTGTACAAGTTATTTTGTCATTTTTTTTGCCACAATGCAAAATTCTACAAGTGAAGTGAAGAAACTTTTGAAAAACTCTTCAAAATTCTTTAATGAAGTCCCCAAAGCCATAAGAAAAGAATTAAGGTATGCACGTGGCCGTGTCAAAGATCAAGAACTAAGTTTTCCTTTCTAGTTTTTAATTTTCCATATTTTCAGTTAAAGTCAGTCGCTAAAAATTCTGTGGCTGAAGTACATAAATAAAATTTTTCTGGATTTCGAATCGAGTCGAGTTTTAGCGACCTACATCCGAACACGACAACTCGCGCAACATAGCTACTCGCAAAGGCAAAATTCTGAGGCTAAACTCTCCTATTTTCCCATAAAAGTTCAGTATTTACCTTTGTTAAAGTAGAGAAAACACTTCCTTTCCTTTCGTTAACGTTTCTTCGTATTACTTCCAAGTTCGTTCTTCTTCAAAACTTCATCATGTTCGTCTAGCTTACGTCTTCACGCTTCGAGGACTGGTTTGTTTTGCTGTTAATTCTACAGTTTTTCATGAATATGGATCAGAAAAAAAAAAAGCCAAGCAATCACTAATGATTACATCATTGATGTTGGCGTTAGCACGATTTGAGGCACATTTTTAAGTAGCTAGCCAATCAGAAAAAAGCAACGCAGATAGTGATTTGCATATTGAAAAGCCTCCAAAAACGTACCGTAGCTTCAGTTTTGTCATGATCGTAATATAAATATTACAAGTGAAAAAAGTTGCAAAGTATTATTGCAAAGTATTAATGAATAAAAAGGCTTCAAAGGTAATGTTAATAGAAGGATTTTTTTTTCCTCTTATCGCTATACTTGAAAAGTTGCTCTTAAAATGAGTTGGGTGTGAAAAGAAAGGGGTAAAGCTAGGAGATAAATCAAAACAAGAACGGGAAAATTTTTTACAAGAAAGAGGCCCTCTGCCCTTATGAAGAGAGAAAACATCTAACCCAAATTTTTTTGTCGAACTCTTTCCTTTCCGGAATAAAAGGATAACTTATTGAAATGAAAAGGTATAGAAAAAAAAATTTCATGCGTTGCAGGCCTATATATTTTCTGAAATCGGCTGAGAAATTTTCACCATAATTTTCGCTCTCTTCATAGCACATTGCTCTCTGTTCCCAGTTTCACAATAAAGCAGATTTGGTTGAAAATAGGGAAGAACGAAGGGATGGATTTTTGCGACATTTTTAAACAATACTCTCTCTCACTGACCCTTTGACCCTTAAAGAGTGACTAGCATCTAATTTCTCTTTACAATATTACACCTGAATTACACATTAGGTCATTCACGAGAATAGAGGAAATGATCACCAACTAAAGAAGCTCTTGATTGTTCAATACTTTCTCAATGTCAGCACCTTTATAATGTAGAATCAAAGAAAAGAAGAGAGAAGGAAAAAGGAAAATGATAGGAGAACTCAGCTATGGCTCAGAATTGCATCGAGGCCGAACGTACGGTGAGCAAAACTGTTATTTCTCAGACCACTTAGCAACAAGCTGAGAGAGAAGGGAAATTTTATATCTTAATTGTTTGAGTGGTTAGGTCATACAGTTTATATCTACATTGTTTTGTCAAATTAATTCATTCAATATAAACTTGTCAAATTCATCCTCCTGTGGATCAATCAATTCTCGCTCAATGTCCACCAAAGCAAACACATAAAACTTCAATCTGCTAGAAACCGTCATGAAGGTACAAATCAATCTAATCTAAGGCACACATGAGTCACAAATTACTTTTCCGTCAATTCTCACTGTAATTCAGTACATTTTGCCATTTGCGAAAAAAAAAACAATTGCCTATTTACATGAACCTGTGTTACAGTGACAACTGCTTGTCTTAAAATACAACTTGGGTAATCATCGTTTCATTTTCCGTTTTGTGCATTTGGTTTTCGGTTTTCATCCAAAAAACTAACGGGTTTTTGGATTTAGTATTCGATGTGGTATTTGGTTTTTCCTTTTTGGGTGGGGTTCCCGTTTCTCTTCGATCTGGGCCCAGTTGTATAAAGAACGGATAACGCTATCCAACAGATAAATCGCTATCCACAGGATAAGTAATTGCAAAACGTAATGCACTATCTACCGGATAGGGATTTATACACTAAATAGGGTTATCCAACCTTCGAACAGCCGGGGCCTGGGCGCCAATAATGCGCCGTCTCTGATTCCGCGAAACCTCTGTAAGCTCCATTTGACACCACTGTATCGGATCTATTAGGGGATTGATAACTGGGATGTGAAAATTAATTAGTTTAGACGGTTTTGCATGCGGTTTTCGGTTTTGATCGAATTTTTTACGGTTTTGGATGATTTTTCAACGGTTTTGCGGTTTCCAATAGACCCCTGCCATTAAATGCCCCCCCTTCCTTCAAAATCGCTAAAATACGCTGTCATGTCTTCGGCCATAGAGATGAAAAATACCACATTCCAGGTAAAAGTCTGTTCATTTTGATGATAATTGAGAATATCCATCCCTGTTTGTTTCGATAACATGAAGCTTCTAGAAGTTCCATACATTTCCTTTACGTCAAACAGTCAAACCGTTTGGGTGGGTTTCCTGTGACTTCATCTTTAACCCGTTTGGCTGGGTTTTCTGTGACTTCAGCATAAAGCGACTGAGGTAATGTTGGTCCATTCCAGGTTACCCCGGCAATTCTCAACCCTTAAACCCTGAGAGTGATTGGCATCCAATTTCTCCTTATATTACCACCCCTGAATCAAACATTAAGGTCAGGAGAATAAAGTAAATCATCATCAACTACAAGCACTTGATTGTTAAACAAATTCTCTTTATCAGCACCTTGGGAGATGTATTGATAACAGTATGGAGAATATGCATATTCCTGCTTTACTGTGCTGGTAGCTGTTTTTTTTTTCATTTATACTGAGATAGCACTGGTCCAGAGTGCACAGTATTTCTGTTCTTGAAAAATAGACACAAAGGTTTTTTTAAGTACATTCTCAAACAGTTCCAAAACTGTATACAAACTGTGGCCCCCTCTTTAAGAATTGATGCATAAAATTTCCTCAAGTGACTAGAGTGTGTCCAAGTAGTATGTCCTTAAATTGGTTAAGACATAAAGTTCCCAAAGCGTTCCCTATTGATCTGCTAACACTGTGGTTTGCCTATAGAGTTTTTTCACATATTAATTCCTGATGGAGTGCTTTTGAGCTCTAACTGAAAGAAGGTTAAAATTACAAAATGAAATGGAAACAATAAATACTGCTTTTATTGCCAATTATTCACTTGAAACAAGCAAACATAGCATTTTCTTTTAAAGAAATGTATATTCCTTGATCAAATGGAAAAATCCAGTGCTATGTATAACATGAAACTGAATCCAATTTTGTTTACAATACTAAGTGAGAACGCAGTTTTTATCAAGCTTGATTTTTTAACCTTCCAACACATGTAGCATCTGTGGAGCAGTTTTCAATTGAGTGTCAAAAGTTTTGTGATTGGTCCAGAAAACTTACACCACTTTCCCAACCAATCAGATCCAGAATTAAATCAAAATGTGACTTTTTACCTGCCTGGTTCCGTGCCCCAAGAGGTTTACTTGCTTTCTTTTGCTTTGACTTCTGATTGGCTCCTTCTATTATCATCCTTTATTCTGATTGGCTCCTCACGATCTTTTCCTATGTTCTTATTGGCTGTACTACTTACCATGACTTTGGTTTTGATTCAACAAAACTCAACTGACAAGAATTTTAACTTGTATGGCCGATTACATATTTGATTTGCCCTTTCCTAATCGTTCCAAAATTTTCATGGCAATTTTTGCGAAAGTCACATAAATCAAAAGAAATTAATTTAGAGTTGTTATAAATGAATATTTTCTTGGTTGCAATGACAGGAAAACATTGTGATGAAAAAGAACTATTTGTGTCTTTTTGATAACTAAGTATTGAAAGAATACTAATGAAAAGGAAACTTTCACAATGTCAAGAGCATCATGAAGTGATATTCTAAAATCCTCCCCTCTAGCTGCTACACATTTCTTGTAAGAACTTTGTGTCAGATTAAGATTACAACATCCACTTGATAATTTTGAGTATTCTCATTACCTTTTCACTAGATAATGTATGAATATTTTAGGGAGAAGTTACACGTCAATCACTTCTGGAAGTTCAAGGGTAAAGGCAATTAAAATATTAGCGGGGCTCCCACACGCACTTCAAGCATGTGGGGCAGAGTCCCATACCCATGGAATATGGTCAACCTCTTTTGGTTTGGTTGTCACGTGACTAACTGAGCGTACATACATACCTGCATTCAGATTGCACAGGTAGGGTAGAGGAGACTATCAAAACGAAGGGAGGGGTGTTTCAGGCAAGTCTTGGCAAATGCACATCTTTTATGTTATCATTAATATTACGAACTTGGGAACTCCACTTTTAGGCTTGGCTAAATCTATATATTAAACATTTCTTTCTCATAATTTAGAACATTAACCCTTGACACCCTATTATGAGAGTCCATATTCTCCATATTGTTCTCTATACATTTCCTTCAATACTGACAAGGAGAATTTGTTTAACAATCAAAGCTTCTCAGTTTGGCAATCATTTCCCATATTCTCATGAGCTTAATGAATGATTCAGCAGTATGACTATGAGGAGAAAGTAGAAGCTGATCATTGAGGGTTTAAAGGGTTAAATATGACTGTTATCAATAAAGATTTGGAAATGCAAAGACTGGCAAAAACCAACGATAAAAACCGACGTTTCGGTGTCATCATGACGCCATTGTCAAGGAGAAATAAAAAATTACAAAGTTTGTGGCAAGGTGTAACACTAAATTAGCATAAATATGTTAGGAGCTAATTAAACAAATACTTTTGCGCGAATTGAATCGCTTTGCACGTTCAGAGTGGGTTTTAGGTCTCTGATGAAAAGCATTT